TGCAGCCGAAGAGTGGATGAAATTGCAATTACCAATAAATGATGCGCAATTTCTAGATATATTGCATGTTCGACGCAAGTATGCTTTAAAAATTCCATGTTTAGCAGCGAATTACTTGCATCCGACGTACAGAGGCAAATTACTATCTGATGAGCAGGGGGATAACGTAGATGATTTTCTACTAAACGAACTTGATAGTAATGGATTAGAAAGTATGCGAGCTTTTGAAAATGGAGATGGCATATTTGGAATTCTTAATTCAAAAACGGGCCTCTCACCAACAACATACTGGAATTTAGCGCGTCGAAAACATTCCAGTCTTTCAGAAGTAGCATTGAAACTGTTAACAATTCCTGCATCTTCTGCGCAATTGGAAAGAATCTTTTCAAATTGGAGTTATATCCATAATCCAATTAGAAATAAACTGTCTGGTGATCATTCAAAAAAACTGTTAGGAATATATTATGGTTTAAAAATGAGCGATAACAGAAATGACGAATATTAAAATTATATTATAAAATTCGCTTATAAGATAACAATTTGTTACAATTAATATTAATTTTAAAATGAATCCAAAGAAACATTGCATACTATTTTAAGTTGGGCGAAATAATAAATTATTAATTTAAATCCCAGATAGCATAAAGACTTTATTTGTATATTCATTCCGTATGTCATGAGTTAATTTTCAGGTGCAAAAATAATTCTTTTTCAGAATTTCTAGAAAAAGAATTGTTTTTGCATCTGAAAACGAACTCAGAATTGATGAGATGACTAAATTCTTTTTGAACTCTTTATGTTATCTGGGATGTAAGGTTAAAAATTTATGTTATTTTTGTAAAGATAATACGTTATATATTTTCTGTTTTCTAAAATAATTTTAACATTTGTTAAAAGAAATTATACTTTATGTTGTGATGCTGTACCAAATGATTAATTTAATAACTATAAATCGCTCATTATACTTAAGTATAATTTATTGAAATTGTATAACTGCTGTACTTTAATGCAATTACAAAAATAAACTTTTTTTATAATAAAAGTGTATACTATATATATTAAATATTTTGTCTATAAAAATTTTCAAAAAAGGACCTATTTTTAAGTCTCAAAAACCCACTTAATCATTAGACATAGTATAGTTTTAAATATAAAATTAAATATTAAAATATTTATTTGTGTACAGTTGTGGACAAATCGGTTGCAATACTTTATTTTGATGAGTTTTGGAACTTTGCAAATACGAACCACGTTTGGTGTATTAGATCTAGTACAATAGTACTGATGGTACATCAATCGTGGTTCGTATTTGCAACGACTGTATGTACACTCGTGAAAACAGAGGTTGCAACACGTTTTTCTTGATGAGTTTCAGACCAATCAAAGAAGAAAAACTCATATCTTTTTTCTTTGGTTAGTGCGTTCCGAACGTACAAGAAATCCATCAAGAAAAATAGATTGAATTATTGTAAAAAACGTAAAAAAGTGAGACGTAAAATACGTACATAATATACCGTAAAATACTACGTATTATACCCTTTTTTACATTTTTGTATTTTACGGGCCAACCCTGCTAGTATGTGACACATAACCTCTCATATCATAACCTCTCACATCTAGCATTCAATATATGTATTTTTCGATATTTTTACACTGTATATCTGTTTATTTCTTTATAAGTATTATTCACAATTATATTATTTATTTATATCATATTTTTTTAAATTGAAAATTATAGCCAAGTTGCAATTAATTAAGATGACCACTAGTTTATTGGGAGTCCAATTTATTGAAGAAAAGGGAGACATCAATATCGCTATAATAAGCAGTAATTGGCTAACACCAAAGAAAAAACACGGCTTTTGGCCTCCCTACAAAAAGCAGTATCAATATGAACAATCATTAAAGAAAGGAGAAATACCAACTGATGAATGGATTTTTTATGACATTCAAAAAATTTTATTTACTGAAAAAGGTAAAGAAATAAAATTATAAATATCGAATTTTTGTATTAGCATGTTATAAAACAATATAAAAATATATGTTTATGTATAGATAACGATTATCATAAAGCGAAGAAACAATTACAATACTGTGAAGAGAATTCAGATATACCATCTGATTTTGATACGGTATTAAAGAGATTCAATACAGTTAGTACGTCACGGTCTAGAAAACGACCTAATCGCTATTGTGAACAAAGCGATAATATATCTAGTGAACAAAGCAATAGTGAAGATGAAGAATCAGTAAATGGTCAGCTCCGTGTCAAAAAGAAATGTAACAGTAATCGTTTACCAAGACCTCCAGCAATCACAACGTGTCAAACTTTTAAACAGTAAGAAGATAGTTTCTGCTAAATTATAATAACTTTAAGTATAAGCTCGAATGCTGTGAACATTAAATCCAAAGAAATAAGAATTATATTTTTAAGTACTTTAAATTTATATTTAATAATTTAATAATTTAAATTATTAAATTATAAAGTATAAATTAAGAATTTAGATTTAACTTATAATATAAGCAATAAAAATAAATGTTTATTTTTTTTGTTTAGTTAAAGATTTAACATGTTTCGTAAAAGACAAAAATTAATTTATAAGAAGAATGTATATGTAGGGAAACGCCAAATGCGTAGAAGGATAATGGCAACAGTTAATGATATGCTTTTTACAGTTAATAATAATAATGAAAACGCTGAAAAAAAATTTAATGATTTTTCTTCTGATAATAGATATCATAATAAATATGATTATGAGACAGATAATGCTATTGATAATATAAATATGCCTTGTACCAGCAGTTTATTTAAAAGTGAAATTGATTTTAATTTTAAATATTTTGAAAACTCTAATACACTTGATAATAATAGCAACTTGTTTCATAATTATAATACTGAATTAATTGAAAATGTTGTTTGTAATAATGAATTATTCTCATACATTAAAAATTATAGTATTTTATCTACTGATAATGAAAATGATTTTTCTGATACAAATTTCATTTCTGAATTACAAAAGTGGGCTATAAATGGAAATGTACCACATATTCGTGTTACAGAATTGTTACATTTATTACGACCTTTTCATCCAGAATTACCGCTTAGCAGTAAAACTTTATTAAATACTCCTCCTAAATTAAAATTTAAAAAGCTAAATAATGGAGAATATTATTATTTCGGACTCTTAATAAGTTTGAAAAGAATTTTAGCTGAACATGATTATTCGTCCCGTTGTGAAGATATTCGATTACAAATCAACATTGATGGTTTACCACTTTTTCATAGTTGTAATACACAATTGTGGCCAATTTTATGTTTGATAAAACATGTGAATAATATCCCATTTCCAATAGGAATATTTTGCGGTATTTCGAAACCTGATCCGTTGTTTATAAAAGATTTTATAAACGAACTCGAAATTTTAATACAAAACGGGTTAGAAATTAATGGAAAAAAATACAAAGTTATATTACACAACTTTCTTTGTGATGCTCCTGCACGAGCATACTTAAAGTGTGTGAAATCACATACAGGATATTCGTCATGTGACAAATGTACTGAATATGGCGAATATGTAAATGGGCGTATAATTTTTCCAAATATACAGCTGTTAAAAGAGCAGATTTTTCATTTCGTTCACAAGAAAGTGAAGATTATCACTTGGGTACTTCTCCATTAACTGAATTACCAATAGATTTAATACTGTTAATTATGGCACATACTACGGAATAGGGAAGGTATTAACAGCAGCTTCTCGTATGTATGATGAACACGTTTATATTATGCTTCTCGTATAACGGATACTTTTACAATCAATCAAAGAAAAACATAGAATATATATACATCGAGATGGGCATAGATCAAACTACAAGAGAACGGACATGATGTCAAACCAAATGGATACTCGCGATATACAGGGTGATTCAAAACAACCCCTCGTCCTTGAAATGACGTATTCTTGACTCAATTCTAAAACGATTTTTCCTTTACAAAAATTTTCCGAAGCTTAGTTTTCAAATTATAACGAGAAATAGTTAACAAATTACGGGCCGCGTACAGATGGTAGACAGGGGCGGCGCAACTTACTGTCCGCCGGCAGGCGGTACGCGGGACCGTCGCGACGATCAGCTGACTACACGCGCGCATAAACATGCGTTTACGTTCTCTCTCTCTCTCTCTTTTTCACACACACACGCACGCACGCACGCACGCACGCACGCACGCACGCAATATCTTACCTTTTGAAAAACCTTTTGTCGACTTCTCGAAGAAGATGGATTAATTCCCATGTGATTTCCACGTAATGAGTTTATTTTAATAAATTTTCAATAGTTTTAATGCAAACGTCACAAGTTATCACTGACACAGATCAAATAATTAGATAATTCTTTTTTTTTTACAAACCATGTCACTTCAATATTTCACACTTAATTCACATACAAATTATGCATTCAAAGAAATTACGAGAAATCTAATGTATTTACTTAATATTGGTACTATTACGTACTTCACAATCACTGACGATTAATTATCCGCCTGTTGAAAAATCACACGAAGAAAGAAATAAACGGCGATTTATTAACACGCGACCCGTTCACTCGACGATAGCAAGCAGTCGACTGACTTTAATACCGAATGTATTAAGTAGTTAA